CTTATAATTTTTCAAACTGGTGGCAACTCTTTAATTTGACTAGCATGTATGAATACTAACGATTGGCCGTAATTTGATTAAGGCCCAAAAATGGTCGCTTCTCTAAGTTTTTAAAAATTTTGACAACCATTGTTTTCAAAATGCCGATTGATGTGATTTCACAGCTCTCTGCGTCCCGAAAATCAGGATTTAAATTCCCTGCGACCGATATTACATATTAACGTTCTTGCAGGTTCTGCTTAATGTAATGTGTAAAATTTTTCTCGCCATAAAAAAAAACGGATAACGATAATTATGAACTCTTTGAAAATCCGTGGGCACCGCATGCTACTTTTAAATTTCCACCATCGACCAAACGTAATTTGAATTTTCAACTATCATATAATTTTCTATATTTCATAATTAAATTCTATGCTAATATTTCAGCTTCAGTAGCTTATGTCGGGAGGTTGGCTTTAGTATAATGCGGCAATCGCAGCATACGACATAAGCTACTAGATATTTCATATGAACACAGAAATGGTTAAGCTTTACTTAACATCCACAGAGATATAGAAATTACGAACGAAGAAATATTGAATAGAATTTATTCTTTTAAAGGCGAAGCAGTACTCGAATTTATTAAAAAGGCCTTATATATAGACATAGTGGACGAAACGCATATTTGGTAAAACTGTTACTGTTACTGTTACTGTCCTTTGTATGCACACAAAAGTAATATCGTTTATTATATTTTCTATGTAATTATAGTTGCTTTACTACGCGATGCTACAAACAGATGATTAGTTGAGTGGGATTAAAAAGGTTTATAAATACTCAAACTAGGTGCATACATTGGCATATACAATATTTACACACTCACACACACACACATACATAGTGAACTGTGCATTTGGCCGCCACCTGCTATTAATAAAGCCTCAATTTACAAAGACCGAACCAGTATTAGATAAATTCATTGGAGAAGAAAGAGCAAAGTGGTATTGAGTGAAGCTCGGTACCCATCCATGTGAGCTCATGTTCCCCTAACTCTTCCTTCCGCTGCTCATATTCGATTAAGCTTCTTCATCAGGATGTTCTCTATTTTCTATGCATATATGTACCCTGCAGTAAAATTTAGAGACAGTCTCTTAAAGCGCTAGTTCCGCCCTACACATTTCAGAACCATCTCTGAACTAGTGCAAAACGGCTGCAGAGAGGGACACTTGAAACTCTCGGTGTGTTAGTTGCGCTCTGTTGAGAAGTAAATGCACAAATTCCCACTTCTCGTACAATACGAAAATAGCTCAGAGGGAAGACCTCCGACTCTAATATCGTTGGTCACGAGTTCAAATCGCGGTGGAGGCAATTGTGATTTTCAGATTTAAGAAATTTAAATTGTTGAGTGCCGCTTAAAAATTAAAGAGAAAGTGATCAAATAATATAAACAAAATAAATAAAAATTTAATAGAATGCAATCTGTAAAACAGAAAAAACGAAAAAATATCAAAAAATCGGATAATCAGAATTTTTTTTAATAAAAAACTTATTGTCGCAGATCTGTCTAAAATGGAACCAGTTTAGAATAGAAAAATAATCTAACAATCGAGTTTTAAAATTTGTTCTCATAGAAAAACTTACTGTCCAGAACTGTCCAAAATGGAACCAGTTTAGAACTAGTTCGAAAGTTCTGCAGAGGGGGGAAATTTCCACTTCGTAGGACATCGCCATGTAAAAAGAGACAGTTGAAAGCATTGCGTTGGGATATATCGAGAACCAGTCCCGCCTCTTAAAGAGCTAGTTCTGCGTTAGTCCTAAACTAATGCAATTTACTGCAGGGTAGTTTCTTTGTACGATATCAACTTTGTGTTCATTATAATTCGAGCCATTGTGAGGCCTCTCTTACCGCAGAACTCCACAGGCAAACATCGATGGCCTACCAACTGTCATTTTGACGAGCAATGTGATTGCAAGTTTTTGTGTGTGGGCACTTTGATGTCTTGAAATAAGCATTTGCCGCATGACGCCACCAGACAACATTCTCTCAATTTCGGTGTTTAAAAACATTTAAATCTTTAAAAAACTTGCTGAATAATTTCCTAAAACGTAATAATAAATAATCCAATAAGGAACAGACTTTTATTTTAATTTAATATAAAAATTTCATCGATGTTACCACCAGCACGCTTTCTTTCAAATGAAAATATGGCTGTCAAACTATCGAATTGCCTGCAATAGATGTCAAGCAATAAGCGCTGACATATATTGCAGCACATGAGAAATAGGCGGTCTCCATTGGAAATATATTTTGTGACATAGTTTTCACGACATCAGTGTTTTCCTGTGGAGACAGGGCCTTATTCACAGACTCTGCCGTTCGAGTGTGTGGCTTCGATTTTGTTTTTGTTCTCCGCGCAACTCTCGCATTTCATTCAAATGCCAGGCATGTGTTGTTCATATAAACATACTTCATGTGTGACTAGAAGAGCTGCTTGCCAGGAACTTTTGTGTCTATGTGGTAGTCTCTTGTTGGCTATTAACAGCAGCACTTTAATGCGATTTATTTGACTGAGCTGTTGTCTCTGTGTGGCATAGCTCACTCACGCGCCTACACAATTCAATAACTATTGATTTGAAGCAGATGGAAGTAGGCCTGGGCTGGGCGCGGGCTGCACCTTTACACAGCCGCTTTGTCACCTAGTCTTCTATAACCACTCGTACGTGTTGACTCCATTGTTTCTAGCATTGATTGATGTGCGTGTTATATTTCCACACAGGGTGTTACAGAGTGAAGTTTGAATGAGCTGCAAACTTCCTAAAAAAAACTATAGATACACAGGCCTATGACAGATTCGGAGTGAACTTCCGTCGTGAAAAAATCTCCCGTCACGAATTCGGGATAAATGCTATCAGCGATTCCAGCGCATTCATAGTTAGTGCTGCCTTTGGTTTTTGTTTGTTTTTATGTTTTAGTTTGATAATTCTAAATCAAAATAAAATAAATCACAATAAAATAAGCGGCAGCAATACAGGCAGCTGTAACAAGGATTTCGATCACGTACTGGATGTCCCATTCGCCTTTTGAAAATTGTTTTTCCTACTTCGGACGCGCAAGAGACGGGAGAGGCCAGGCTGCCTGAGACATGAACTTCATTCAACCTGAAAGGCATAGTTAACTTCCACCATTACCGCAGAATCTGGCCCGAACATAATGCTCGCCTTTGGAGCCACCAGTATACAAAATTTAGCTATCTTTCGGGGGAACTAGTTATTTTATATTCCATTTAGTTTTATTTGAGGAAATTACATGAAGATGCGTTTGAAGGTACACCTCAGAAAATTCTGATCCAGGAAGCTAAAGCGCAGCTCATGATTCATAACCCTGGGAGTCAATGAGTGTACTAGCTTCTATGCTCTGTGTTTCCCTCCGATATGAGCATCGTACAGTTTCATAAGTAAAAACACTATCAGCTGATTGCCAAAATATGCCTACAGCTGAGATCACCTGTTTTTTGGCATGTGCTCTTATCTTTTACAATTTCTTTCATTTCTATTACAATTTCATTTATTTCTATTACAATTTATTCAAAATACACTAACACACTGAACCAAAAACACCAATACAATAACCAAAAACACACCTACAGCCTGCCAAAAACACACCTACAGCCTGCCAGAAAAAACGGTAAGAAGAAGAGTTACTTTACTTATGGAACTGTACGATGGATATGAGTCTCGCTAGACGTTCTTTCCTTTGTATAGTTAAACTATTTCTTTATCTCAATAACATTTGAGAATTTTTTTTTTTAAATAAAAATGTAATTTTATTCATACTAAACTATTTTTAAAAATACAGAAGTAAATTTTTGGATTAACCCGCATGCATATATGTATTATAAGAAAGAAAAAAGTAGCCAAAAGCCCAGAAAATGATAGAAAATGAGTTAAATTGGCGAAATTTTCGTAAACTTCTCGAACTATCCATCCCCAGAGTAATGTGCTTTCAATGTAAACAAGCTTTAGTTAGCCCACTCGTACCAATTGTCGTCTTATCCTAGTGGTGTAAGAACGGTTGTTGCGGATAATTGCGGGTTTAAGGAAGCAGATGATTTTCCCAGCACTTGCCAATACTCCGCCAATGGCATTTCCCATGTTTCGCCACTGAAAAGCGGCGCCCAAACCAAAATTCCATAAAAGTTTAACATTGTCTGATCATAAAAATTTACAAAGGTGAAGACTTAGAAAATAATTCTGATAAAAATTTTATTTAGAATTAATCACGTCCGCTTCACAAAAAATATAACTATACTGCGTTTTTTTTTCAACGGTTTACTTCTACTGATAATCCTAAGGACCATGGCTAATGCGCCTCGTGATGCACAGTAGGACCGCTTCCCAAGTAATCGCTCATCCTAGAGCTAAGATTAATCAGTTTTAATTGCGCTAGTTGACGACTACATATATTCAGCGCACTCGGTAAAAGGTTTGTGATGCAGTCTTCTAAGTCATCTCTGACGATAAATACATATAATGCTTTCGAAAAAAAAAACGTATAGTTTTATATAAACTAAACGTAGCGATTATTGTACGTATTCAGAACTTGTACAAAACCAAGCACCCTTTATCAGATAATTTTTACGAGAGTGTATGTGAGTCTCTGACATACTGCGCGCATATCCCTTCGCTTCAATGTATGTATGTATGTATGTATATTGATGTGAATGACTCTCCAACTTGTTGGATTCTGTGGTCTTAATCCACCACAAATCTATTGAACGGCGTTTTGTTAAACGGCTCTCTACTATGTATGTACATAGTACATCCGACTGTCACTTGGCTTCCTCTCTGCAAATTTTTACATTCTACTTCAATGGCTGTGCGCCTAGCCCATATACAATCACAAGCGCACCTACACAAATACATACATACATATACATATACAAATTTATGCAAATAAACATACATATTTATGCTACACACAGATATCACAGCCCGACCCAAGCCGCCTGCAGTCGTTCGACGTCCAGTGTCGCTGACAGTTCAGCTTTGGAAACATTTTTGAAATTCAAATTCCCATTGAGTGTATTTGAGAGTGTATTCTTAGAGTGTAATTGATGTTGTTTTTGTTATCTGTTAACAACGGTATTAGCAGCGAAGGACGTGTTGTTAATTAATTGTTCAACGGTATTGTTCTCGCGGCTTTTGTTGCTTAATTATCGAAACTTTGCGAAAGCTCTACGCGTCACTTTTGGATTATACTGTCAAGCTACGCTGTACGCAATTTGCATTTAACATAGATACAACATACTAGATACACAGATACGCTAGTCAAAGTGGCGCGCTTGTTAGTACACGTTGCGCGTATGTAAATGATAAGCAAAAGTGAATATTAAGCCGGAACCCGAAAGAAAAAAGAAAGCGAAAAAAAAACGTTTTGCATACTTCAAGGCGTCTGTGCAAACTGGTGTACGCCGAAAGTGTTTTTGAACAGCGTTATCAGGCACTTTGTTGACCCCGTTGAAGCGCGTTTTAAAAGCTCTGAAAGTACGCGCCTAATATGTGTTAAGTGCGAAAAAATTGTGCCGCTTGTTTCTAATTGGCGGCTATGTAGTGAATTTGTTAAATTTGCAACATCGTTGTTTTTTTTTTGGCAAATGTGTTCAACAACTCGCTGTCATCGTGGGTGTCATTGCTGTTGGCAATTTTTCGCTTTTTGTTTGTGTTTTCTTTTTTTTTTTTGCGATTGGCTTTGTTCTGTGCCGCAATTTTTGGTCACTTGAAGTTGGCGACGCAGAGCCATTAAATTAATTCAATGCTAAATACGTTTAATTAACCCAAAAATGTAAGCAACACGTGAGTGGGTTAATGAGGGCAACAGAACGCGGCGGCGCCTTAAATTCATACGAATGCTTGCTTGGCCTACCCACAAAATACAATTTTATTTTTTATTTATTATCTTGTGTTTTAATTTGGCATGCCCTCAATTTGTAATCCGCATACATATTTCTGGTAAGCGATACTCCCTTTTCATCTACAATATTATTGTTCGCCTTTCTAATCACTTTCAATTCATTCATTTTCATTTTTAAGTACCTTCTTCGATGGTTGCTCCAAAGAAATTCATAAAAGATTGGACCGATTTCAAGAATTTTTAACTTTCGTATTATCGTTATAATGTATGGCGACGGGAAAATGTTTAAATTTTACTTAAGTATTTTGGCAGGGCAATGCCTGGCGACTCGGCCGGTATCAACATCTTAATTCTGTTAAACCGCGAAATATAAATTTATTTGGGACTTTTCAAAATTTTTCATGATTTACTTTTCATTAACATTTTAGATTTTTTTACGAACTTTTGTGTCCAAAACTATAATTACATCTCAGCTTTGCTATTTATGAACGTCTTAAAAAAAATTGTTCTGCAAAATTTGCGTTATTTTCCGCTCAAAAACAGGTCTGGAAATTTTCCCTCTTTTTGTTTTTCACTTCAACGAAAAAGAAAGCAAAAACTAGTTTACATTTCCTGGTCAAACCCGAGCCTTTGCCAAATTGTTTTGGTTTTGATTATAAAATACAAACTTATTTGTTGTTGTTATTGTAACAGCATACAAATTCTCCACAAAGAGTTTTTGGAGTGACAGTCTTTAGCCAAATATAAATCTGTGTCGTTCCGGTTGCGTAGACCCAATTGCCGGATCGTGGTAATGTGCATACTCGGAGCGATTTATGATGCTGAGCTAAATCGTTACCGGTGCTAGGTACTTCGCCCTTGTAGGAACAAGAGAAGTTGTAAACCGTTCCCTCTTCCGCCGTTGAGTTAGTGTTGTGCATTCGTCTTTGGAATGAACTTTCATGAAAATTTTTACCTCCACAAACAGTTAATGGAGCCTCCTTTTTTAGTAAAAAATAACCTATTTACAGTAACTTGCATAATTGATCACATGTTGATTTTTTGCAATATTTGCCATTTTTTCGTAATAAATTGCATTTGAAATTTTTTTTTTATCTTACAAAAGCCATAAAAGTTGCAATTTGAAATTTTGTACACAGTGTTGGTTAATTCAACAAATTTTAATGTAAATTTCCAACTTTTAAACCATAATGTTTTGAGCGAAAGTTTGAAGTAGCATAGGATTAGATTTTAAAAGATTAAATTATTTTCCTTCGTACATATAAAGACATACATTCATACATACATACATATGTACATAAATATTTGTACATATTCGCCTTTTCTTTATAATAATTTGTATGTCCTTGCGCGTTCGCACACTCTGGCCTGCCGTGGCGTATACGCAATTAGAAATTGCTGCTTTGAAGGTACCAAACCACACACCTACGCTTTCTATCCTAATTTTATTTTCACCTTATTTTTTATTTTTATTTTTGTTTGCCTAATGTTAGTTAAGAATACACAAAAATACAAACAAAACTTCCCGCCAGCTTAGAAATATGTATTCATTTCGGTATACATTTACTCACAAATCTAAATATCAATGTATGTATGTATGTGTATAGAAGAACTCGAAACACAAAAAATATGTAGCGGCTCCGGTGTGAAACTATATGAACGCCCCCGCCAATTTTAATTTCATTTTTGTAGCACTTCTGCCTTTTCCACAACTTGTAAGCAATTAGAGACCTTGGGGACCTGCTGTTGGCCGTTTTTGTTTCCCTTATAATTTGTGTAAGCCCAATTTTCCATAAAGAAATAAAAGTATTCTGAAATTAAATTTTTTCCTTAAGTGGCAAAATGTTTAGCAAATTCTTTATTTCACCCAATGCTAAAAAAAAACTACGTGCATTCTTAGCGAAGGTACGTATTCAGAAAGTTAAAAAAAATTTGAATTTCACCAGAGCGTACGTATGGTATGGCATTTACTCCATCTAGCTAGAAATATGCAGTGCTATACATACATACATACATGCTGCGAGAAACTAAGACATTGCATTTTTTCTACTAAAAAAAAAATCTGAGTACTTACTGTTTATTTCGATTTATTTCGCTTTGCTTATGCGCTTTGTCAATACTGCAGCTGCAACTATGCAACCTTATCTTCGCTGTTTTGTCTATCTTTAACTAATTTAACGCCTTTTCAACGGAGCTTATCTGTCCTCAATCTTTACGCTTGGTGCATTCTTATTGGTTATTTGTCACCTCATTTGATGCTTAAAAGCGCGTCTTTGTTTACTGAAACGTGTCTGAAAAATGCAAAAGGATTATGCGAAGCTTTCTTTATGCATACACACCCTTATGTACATACATACATACATACAAAGGTATGTACAGATTATGTCTTCGCACGTCTTGACTTCGGTCGCCTTCTGTGACTGGCCGCACATCCTTGTATGTATGTATGTATATAAAAATGTAGTAACCAGTACAAGTGCACAAACAGAAGATTAAGAAATGCGTTGTTTTCATTTTTATGAAAGCGTCCTTGCTGCATAGTGTTGGAAAGCGATCAAAAATAGGACACAAATTCAATTTCATGTGGATAGTTTGTAATTGACTAAAATTCATGTCTAGTTTTTAGGTTGCCAAAATATTATGTCCAGTTTTTTTAATTACCATAAAGTTTTTCAATCACCAAGAAACTGATGTCTCATTTTGGAATAACCGAAATTTTATGGCCATTTTAAAAAATATATATTCTTTCTTCAAATTACTAAATTGTATGTATTATTTTTGAATGACGAGAAAACTTTGTAACATCTTTAAATTACCAAAATATTAAGGCCAGTTTTTCAAGTACATACCATAAATTATACAAAAAAATGATGTCCTGTTTTTATTGATCAAAATTTATGCCCAGTTTTTAGATTACGAAAATTTAAAATCCAATTTTTAAGCGAAAATGTATGTCCAAGCATTCAATTCAAGTTTTGACGTAGATAGTTAATCAATGAATTTATTTGCATTTTTAAATTACCCAAATTTTATATCCAACTTTTTACTGATCAAAATTTATGTCCGCTTTTTTAATGGCTAAAGATGTATGTTCAAATTGCTTAAGCCTAACAATGTAAATAAGTCCACTTTTAAAATTACCAAAAATGTATGTCCAGTTTTAAGGTCGCCAAAAATGTATGTATGTATGTATTTCAATCGCCAAGAATTTGTATCAAGTTTTTACTTTCAAGCAATCAAGGTTTTGGCGAACATTTGGTGTGCATGCATAGTAGTGGTGCTCAAATTTACACAATTTTCATGGTTACGTTACACTGTGCGCTGTAGCCGGCAGGTGTAGTTGCGCGCAGTTTTCACATCGCGGCGCTTTTGAATTCGAAAAAAAGGATTTACTTGCATATTTTTATTCTTTACGCTTTGAAATATGTATGTAGTATGTGCATCCATATGAATGTACATTAGGGTGCCTCACCAAAAAAATTTGGGCTTTTTTCACCGGAATCATCAAATTTATTATATCTTAAGACTTACGCACAAATATTGGAGAAAACATTAAGATTTACGCGAGCTGAACCAATTTAAAAATATCTCAAAAAATCTACTTTAATACAATTTAAAAAAAAAAAATTATGCAAACCTTTTAAGCTTAAAGTCTTCTATCAGCTGAGAGGGTTTTTTTGAAAAAATATTGCTAAAAACTAATTTTATGTATACACTGAGGGTAAAAAATATTAAAATCAAATAGAAACGTAATTGATCTTACTATAAACGTCAACGAAAGTACTGTATATTGGTAAATATTCAATTCAACTAAGCGCATATTTAAATGACTGCATTCGTTCTGAAAAAGCGTCCGCGAAGTAAATAATCAAGATAAAACCCAAAAAAAAAAAATTTAATTTGCATGTTGCCCGCAGCAATGGAACTCGAACCCAGGCCCCCTCTGGATATCAACAAATTGTGGCAAGCATCTTTGCGCACTCAGCTACCGTCAGACATATAAATGTGCTTTCAAATTATGAGTTTCCATCAACACCACAACACGCGATTTGTACGGATAAACATGTCCCAGCCGGAAGAGAAATGTAAATATGTAAATTTTGCCGACAGTGCAGTCTAGTACAATTTTCCGTATCCAGAAACGACTAAAAAACGACTACAATTTTCATTCATTTTCTTATCGGGAAATTGTTCGAAAAAAGATGATGTTATTTGAAAACAATATATGTATTGTATTTGCACAAGCTAAACATTTGAAAGCATGCGTGCGTAGTCGGCAGTGGCTGAGCGTGCAGAGAAGTGTGCCGCTATTTGTTAGCTTCCAGAAGGTGCCGAGTTCGAATTCCGTGAGGCGCTTCCTTAATTTCATTTTTTTTTAACCATGAAAAAGTATCTGTGAAGTGCAGAAGGAAAGCATATTAAACGAAAGATTCAAGCAAGAAAGATCAAATTTTAGAAAAAACCGCCAAAAAAATATCCGTTTCACAAACAATTTTCGTAACTTGTCTATACGTACGTTTCTGCCGCATACTTTGAGGCCAGTATGCAGCTCTCAAGAAAAGCAAAAACTCCATATCAAATGACGTACAAGAAATGTCTAAGAAATTTTCTTGTGTCAAATTTCCTTAAGGCAATACGTAGTTCTTAAGAAATTTGTTACACTTTCTACTACGGTTTTCTAAAGTTTTTTATGAAAAAAGAAAACAAGGCAGCCCATGTTTGCAACAGAAATATATGCCCGTTCCATTATTTCTTGAGGGTAGAGTGAGGCAACAGGATGTGAAGTATCAGATGTCAAAATTCCTTGGACACACACACACGAAATAATAACAATTTTTTTCTTGACCGTTTTCTTAAGAGTTCCATACTCGTCAAAGTAACCGAAAATGAAATCGGTAAAGGGAAAAAAATCCGCACTTCATCTACTTTTTTTCCTTTTTCGGATCGATTATCGGATTTTTCGAATACGTGTGTGCTAAATTTTGGTACGAAAATACTATTATTAAATACGAACATTTTGAAACGATAATCAAATATAAAATACTCATTTTTACTATGCATTATTTCCCTCAGTGTAAAAACTCGATTTTTGTAGGTATTTTCAAACCTGTACAGCTCACATACATAAATGTTAATATTTTTCCGAAGTATTTTGGCAGAAGTTTTGAAAATATAATAAATTTTATAATTCCGATGGAAGAACAGCGCCGATTATTTTTTGAATGCAGAATGATGCACCCTCATGTATGTACATACATACATGCATGCAAACATAAGTGTGTTCAGTTTTACTTGTTCCTTTAGTTTCATGTTTTGCATATTTTTTTACTTACATTTTTTTCGGCCGCACTGCTGGTAGAAATATATATGTAAGTATATAGATATATGTGAGCATCCGTGTCCTGCAGGCAGGTCCTGGAAATGCTCTGCTGCAAATCCGGAGCTGGTGCTATTTTTGGTTGCTTTGAACTGTTTAATGTTGTTTATTATCTATCTGCTTCTCGTCATAATGTGGAAGTGTTTGTACTGTGTGTGTGTGTGCGTGCGTGTGTCAATTTGAGTGCGCGCGTGCGTTAATAATGCCAACAACAGCAATGCCAACTACGCCGCAAATGAGCTATTTACAAGCTCTACAACTATAAAACAAGCAAGCAACAGCATAATTCCTTTAATTGCAACAAAAACAATAACAGCAACAACAGCCAATGTAACAGTGGCTGTGTTCCAAGTTGCATTAATGCAAACTGAACTACATATAACTGATGGAAAAGTCCATCAGTGCGTAATCACTTACAAATGCCGAATTGGAACTTAGTTACTTTAGAAATGAAAGAGGCTGATACTTTGCATTAATGCAACTTGGATCTCAGCCAGTAGCAGCGTTAATAATAACTATTTAAAATAAAGCAAACTAAACATAAGCGGTATTCAGGCGTTAATGCGAAATGCAATTGCACGGATGCAATGTTGTGAAATTGCAAACATTTAGCAACAACAACACAGCCGGAAATCTCGCAGCAGTCAATTAATTGCCTTTGCTTATAATTACTATAAAGTGAAATGCAATAAACTGATGCCATATTTTCGTTTGTGTGGTTGTTGAGAAAAACTTTGCAATTTCACATTTTGCATCGCTGCAATTACGCCTGAATATCCCTATAAAGAAGAAATTTGTAGTTCCGTGTGTATTAACAACAGACTTTCACAGCTAAATAATAGAATTAAGTGCAAAAAACAACAACACTAAAGAACCAACACTAACATATGTAGGCTGTCAATCTCTGAAGCGTTTGCAACAGATTTAATTAAGAAGCCACTCAAGTAGACGCGTGTGCATGCTCGCAAATAAGCAAACATGAAAACTAACATACATAAATACATACATTCAACGCGCATCTCGCCTACTTATTTGCGTACGCGGGCGTGCTTTAAGCGCACAAGTGCGTTGCAACATTTCTTCGAATTGTCGTGCTTTCACAACAGCCACCAAACACCCACGCTGGTGCCGGCGTCGTTGTCGTCGTTGTCGTCGTTGCCGTCGTCGTTCGTTAGCATTACCATAGCCACGCATAGCGCACTAGGCTGGCTGGCCGTTGCAAATGCACGTAGCAGCTGCAGCTTATCTTCTATGCATTCGCTACTGCTGTACACTTCGCTCTTTGGCTGCAGGCATTCGTGTGTAAACGCTTAATTGCTTCTGGCACGCCCGCCCGCCCGGCTGGTGGTTTCTGCCTGCCCTCTGTGCCACACACTGCTGCTTGCTGCTGTTCGTGCGGCATCGTAGCTATTTACTTTACGCTCGAACGCTTCTGCTCGTGCGAATTAGTGTTTCGCGCCGTCGCTATTCATTGTAGCCACTTTCGCCTTCCATCATTATCAGCAGCATTCTTACGGAAATGGCTTCTCAAGTATCTACAGCCAGTTTGCTTGTTGGTAAGCTTACACTCAGCACAAAAACAAAAAAATTCTTTATTATTTTTTTATTTTACTTTTATTTCTCATTGTGATTGTGTCAATAATATGTAGCATCTTTTAGTACTCGCTCAGGCTTACTTTTACGAGTATTCAGAATTAAATATTCGATATAACGACGTTGGATCTCACCCCGAAAGGTTCATGTCTCCGCAACTGCGTGCGTTTGATTTGCCCCTGCTTTCGCTCCGACGAGTTGCAGCATAGGCTCTGGTGCTGTTAGCCCAGTAAGATGCTTATGCCACTGCCTCTAGGGCCGTCTCAGAGTTGAGTATGGCTTATCGTCCCCCCGTCTTCCTATTCAGCGGGGTGATTTTTAAGAAATTGAGAAATAACTTTACATCCTGCGCCGCAATACTCTCATCCGACCTCTCGCCCACAGAGAAAGTGGCTAGACGCTTCATTAGGTGGTCCTCCGATAAGACATCCTCAGGAGGTACGCAGGTAATATAGGCAAAGGTTTTGGAAATATCATTGCTCTGTGCATCTTAAAATGGGTTGAGCTCACCTCACCTATCACACCAAAAAGCCGATTTCTTGTCTCTCATGGCGTCATGATCGTTTGACGCTGAGTACAACCTCTGGGTGTTTGACACATTTAAGGGGTACCTTGCATGCCGCCGTGATGCCTATGCAGGGCAACTGCTTTGATGTGCAGGGTTCATCGTCCTGAACACCAGGATTTGAAATTGTAACTCTGCTTCACTTAGTAGGCTCTGGATCTCTACTTCTCCGCATTATTGGCTTTCTCTAATCAAAGGACATATTCTACATGTCCAGCAGATCACTGGTCGGCGAGCGCAGATTCCATTAACCCAACCAGTTGAATCCTCAGTAAAGCGTTGAGTCCCTGCTCTTAATCTTTCTCCTGGTCTGGGAATCTTGCTCTAACACAGATATGGTTTTCTTTTTTTCGAATTTTTTTCTTTCCTCCTTAGCAATGGAGTATAGCATTTCTTTTGAACATACTGTTACAGTTTTACGACCATACATAATCCTGACTCTTGCATCTCCGTTTGCGCACTCTGGCCAACGTGTGTGGCAGATACGGTAACCAACCCGGGCGGAGCCCTGAATCATGGCCGAAAGAGAGGAAGCTCGGAAGCGCGGGAGGTCTCACTAAAGTCAGCGTCTCTTTACCATAGATGCGGCTGCAAATGGGCATATATCTTGGAGCCAACGGCTGCCTATATATAGAGAAACCCCACCAATCAATTGAGCGCTGGTCTTGGGATTCGACATGTAAAAACACTGTGAAGCAAATGTGATTAGACTTGAAGAGCCTCGGATGAATACCCGTCACCGCTGACGAGCCTCGCAAACTGAAATAGTACTGCGATTAACGGATGTGCATTTGAAATGTCCAGATTCTCAAAAAGTCAGGTGCCTCTATCCAACTACTAAAATAACACAGGAAATGCGGCGGATTGGCGGCGGATTTGCGGAGATTAGAACACCTTATCTCCAGATTACCTACCATCAGTGAACGAATTGTCACGATCCGCTTGAGGGCTTAATTCCACATCAGTTTACTCTTGTAGGCGTTTCTATAAGCACCTGGAGAGCCTAAAAGCACTGTCTCTGCCACGATTTTAAAATCGTGCTAGGAGACTTTAACGCCAAGGTGGGCTAAGAAGTGGTGTATGAGCACAAGACGAAGTCCGTCTAGGCAATCCTCAAAGAGTTACCCGCATAGAGGCGTAAGTTGCTGCTGGAAATTATTATTTTTACGATTTATGGGGAGCTATACGGATAATAGGAGGAAGAAGTTTTACATCAGTCGCACGTGGAATTCACACACATCTCTTTTTTTACAGAGCTGAGTTTCAGGTGCTACAAACGAAAATTTTCCCTAATAAATTTGCCATTCAATTGCAGCGCAGTTCGTCCGCTGGTCCAGCAAATACTCCATACATTATGTCACTGGCAGGGCCTCATTCGTAAAGTTCTCCCGCCTCAAGTGTCGCCCATTCGTCTCTTGCTCATAACTACAAGCAACTCGTAAATTCCAACATGATTGCGGCAATTAAATGCCAAAGTGCATTCTTAATTGATATACACAAATTGATTGCGTTTTGATGTGTCTAAGGATTTATTGCCGCCGCTGCTACGGTGGTGGCCAATGCAAGGAGATGCAATCGAGAGTCACTCCAAACAAAATTATTAACGTAGCAGAGGTTTACAGCGCTGCTACTGCTGTGACGGTAAGCATTTGGAAGCATTCTTTGGCTTATTTGCAGTTTGATGCAGTGCAATGGAAATGATGGGCAAATTATCGTCGTCGGGTAAACGGCAGAATGTATGCGCATGAAAAATTTAATAATGACTAAGGAAAAGGAAATGTATGATACTGTAAAGTGTTGCCGTTCCAGGAATAGCTTCGACGACCATTCTTAAGCTCCGAATTACCTAGACCCATATATCAGTGCGTACACTTAAGCGATTTCTCATGCATACACAATATTCAGTATGTTAAAGTGGTTTAAATTCATGTATGTATGTACATGCAAATATGTGAACATAACTTACATTTTATTGAATTCCTGCTTATTTGCTGTAAATATTTGCAAGCATACCAATTGAAATATTGACTCAATTCAGCTGTTGAGGTTAAAAATATATGTATAAGTTGTACATATTCATATAGTATAAATAACATTTATAATCTGTATGCTTGCTTGGTATTTCAAATCAAATTCAAATCACAAAGCTTTTCAACTCAACCAAGTTAAGTTAAAATATAATTTCTATGTATGTTTATAAATATATATGCTAAGCGTATGTATATGCTGGTATTTACTTTTGCACTGGCCAGTGCAAAAATAGTGATGAAAAGCAAAAACGGCTTGTAAAGTAAAAATTTTTGGTTTAGGTGGAAAAGATTGAAGTGCACAAAGCTTATGGAAAAAATGGAATTGGTTTTTTAAAATGGCAGCAAACATAAAAGTTAAATAATTTCGAGCGGCTCTTATTTAAAATCAATGCGACTTTTTAGACGCACAAAGCTTGCACTTACTCTACTAAAATTGTATAAGCTTGTCAACTGCATACCCAAAAAAATGTCTAAAAATTCTGGTTATAAAGCTCCAAATTTAGATAAAAAAATTTTGGAATTTTCCTAAATTCTGTATAAAGTTTGAAAGTGTGATTTATATAGTCTTTGTTAAAGCATGCACCATATTTTTATATAAACATATCGAAACAATTTTAGCTTGAAATATTGTAAGTATTAAAAACTAAACACCATTCATCTATTTGTGACCGTCACTGTACACTTGTGCACTTGTCGGATAAGGTTAAATTGTTTACACAAAGAAAAAATTAACATGCTTTTTTTCAAACTGCGTATTTTTCGGGGTTTCCATTATTGCGATTTTAAAATTTTGAACAGAAAAAGTATTTTATAAAGCATTTTCACATTATCATAATTTACAGCTCATTCGTAATTCATAAACAAATCAAGTAATTTGACCACGTAAAATTTACCAATTAATTTGAAATTAAACCAGTTTCAAAAATTTGCGATCACAATTTTAAATTTTTTAATCATATTTTTTAGAAAAGTTTTGGGCATGCATTTTCATAGCCAATTCAATTTGAATATAATAAGGTGCAAATTCGAAGTTGTGCATTTTCTCGATATAAAAATACGAATATTTTAGAACATTAGTATTTTGTGTGGATGAAAATGCGAAACATCTCCAACTAAAAAAAAATCACAAAAATCAACGCGAATTTTTATGGACTTCAAACGTTCACTTTTTGTACTGAAATTGAATGAGATATAAAACTTCATGCCCTGGCGCTTGGAGAATTCGTCGAATCATGTCATATGCACAGCATAGTATATACTACTTTCGACAAATCATCCATCTTAGGCTAAATAACATATAAGCATACATACATACATACATATGTATGTCTGGAGAATTTTAATGAAGAAATTTTAGTCTACACTTTAGCCTTGCTATCCATTATTTCAGCCAATGGCGCCTGCTGTCTTCGGTTTCATTTTAAAGAACTCCTTGCGAAAATGATTTATGCTGCCGCAAATTACCCGTGAAGATGACTGACATATTTTTTCACATAAAATGTGCAAATCATTTTATTTAATTTTGTTTTGACCGAGTTTGCAAATTGTTGCTTATATTCGTTATTAATTGCAAGACAGATATGATTCTATGTTCGCCGGTCCGACATGGCGTATGCGTAACTTCGTTAGTCTGCGCTTAATTAACTTTGACTGGCAACAAGCGCCATTTACAAGCCCATATGTATGTATGTATATTTAATAGCATATAATAAATAAAAAGTTATATTTTTCAGCTTTACAGTATGGATTAATGCAATATTTCGTATTAAAGGGAATCAGTGTTCTCGATAAAAATTTAAAAAATCAACGCGATTTGCTGCGTTTTCAATTTCTATAAAGTTTGAAATTTGTCTTCTAAAATTTAATAAGCTATAAAATTGCAACCTTAACGCTTTTATAAAATTTCTAAATAAAAAGTTAGATTTTGGTAAAATTTGTTGATTTTTTTAAACTTTTGTACAAAATTTGTAATGTGGATTTATATGTTGATTGTTGTAAATGGGCTAGACTTTTATAAAAAATATATTAAATATCGAATAAACAAAAGAAATATGTATAGCCAAAACGGGTCGAAATAAAAAGATTATTTATTTCTTCCACCACTGTACGTAAAAGAGCGAAAAATCTTGACATTTTTAATAGGAAGGCTATAACATACCATACTGAACTAGCAATGTGGAACTCAAAAATGTAAGATTCATGTTTTTTGAATAAAAGCTCGCCTAGGATAGGTTAGGTTAGGTTATGGTAGCAGACCCACGAAGGGAACTCACTTAGACATTTAATTGTCCATTGTGATACCATATTACACAAACTCTTAGAATGGTAAAACTAACTGGGTGCTCACAACAATGTTCCGCAGACAGCTGATGTCCACTCCAGAGAGATCCTCGGGAGTGTTGAAGATATGCGCACCGAGATGCTAAAACCTTAATCTAGCGAATGCCGAATGCCGGACAGTTGAGGAGGAAGTGCTGAGATGATTCCACCTCGTCTTCCAGACAGCTGCAGAAGTAGGGATCCGTGACGATCCTGAGTCGCACCTCGTGGGTTCCTATAGGACAATGTCCGGTCAGTACACCTGTAAGAATCGAGAGATGGCGCTTAGCCAGCTGCAGTAGCTGCCTTGACCGCCCACGGTTCGCATCCGGTCAGAAGGACCTTGCACCTTTGCAATTCGGGGTTTTTTCCAGCGCCCGCTATGCCGACAGTAAATGGCCGAAAATTTTCTGCATAATTATGTACACTGTCGAAACAAAGTATTGGCACAGCAAATTTTTCACAATATATGCAACAATTTTATTGTAATATTTTTCCACCAATTTTGTATAAAAAAAATTGGTTCATTTAACAACAACAAAAAAATAAAAACAAAATTCCTAAACTTTGTGCAAAACTCGCGAAAATTCAGCAAATTTTCATCAGAATTTTCAACTTTTTAATCAGACATTTTAGAATTGTTTGAGTATGCAGTTTTGCAGCCCATTAAATTCTAGTAAAAAATGCAAGTTCGGAGTTAGTCAAAAATCGCGTTGATTTTTGATAATTTTTTTTGTTGAAGGTTTTTGCATATAAAGTATTTTCGAAAAAAAATGTTTGCATAGAGAGACTGCGTGAAAAAAAAACTTCCCAAAATCAACGGTAGTTCTTATCTGCTGAAAACTTGCACTTTATTGTAATGAAATTGATTGGGCTATAAATCTGCATACTCCAAAAAAATTCTAAAAAATCTGATTAAAAGTTAAACATTTTCATGAAAATGTGATAAATTTTCGCAAGTTTTGCACAAAGTTTAGGAATTATATTTTTATGTTTTTTCTTGTTGAATGAACTATATTTTTATAAGAAAATAGCGGAAAAATATTAGAATGAAAATTGTTGCATATATTTTAAAAGATTTGCTGTGCCAATACTTTGTTCCGGCAGTGTATGTCGTTTCGGAGTATTAAGTTATTTATTTATTTTATTTATATTTTTTAGAATAGAATTTTTTCCTCAGCTTTAATATTATAATTTTATTTGTATAATATTCCGCAATTTTAACTCTTTCTTTTTTCTTTTTTTACATTTCAGAGCCTGTTCGACGCTTCACCTCGCGCCGCAAATCCGTCTTTGCCGAAGCCTATGATCCAGAAAATGATGCCGATGATGACGAGGCCGAACGCAAGGTCTATCCTAAATCAGACGAGCAGCGTGCTCGTCTAACCGAATCGGTGAAAAATGTATTGTTATTCCGTTCGCTAGATGATGAACAGGTGAGTTCGCAACTATTGTACTTTGCGGTTTTTTCCTTTCTTTTTCTACCTCTCCACCAAGATAGGAAGCGGGTTGGTAACAAATGAATTCGAAATTAAAGCTTTTTCCGTTCTTGAGGACTCTTGAAACGTTGCCTTTAACTCTTCGTGCTCGTTCAGATGAAGCCAAGTGGGAGAAAGGGTAATAATGTTTCCTAGAATATTGCTAACTGTGGTGGAGAAAGATAGGATATGAAGCTTAGAAGAGGATGGGAAGGAATGTGCACAGAACGGTGTACATAGAATATCCTATCGAACTCATCCTCATCGAAATTTCCTGCAATGTCACTATGATCTGGTTTGCATTTAAGTCTGACTAGGAAATTATCAAACGCCACTGAAAAAGAGTTCAATGCCCTGATTGCTACGCGCGGCTATCAGTGTACACCACGATGATCTGGAAACCTAAATTTAAAAATGAAAGAAAGCTCTCTATGAAAGACCCAACAATCACCAACTCTTCCGTCAAGCTTCGACCCCTTCATTCACTGATGCCTTGTTCCCATCTTCTAAAGCAAGGATAGTAAACGGCATTTTCTTTGAGCCTGTTCAATCCAAGCCATTTCAAGCAAATTCAATTCAATGCAACTATTGATTTTGCCGATATTATTTTTGCATAAAATTTTTCTAATATTTTTTCCTACAGTTGGCAGTAAATTAGAAAAAAAAAATAGCACAGTTTTGTAATCAAAAGAAATACTTTTCCGTATTTCGTTCGGATTCATTTTTAAATAGGCCAATACTTACCATTCTGCTTAACGTGCCTTTTATAGTAAATTGCACGCTACCTACATTTTCGTATTTGCTGAGCGGAGCCTGCTGCTGCAAGTAAATTGTATTTATTATTTTCCAAATCCAAGCAGCGTTGCAGTGCAAATATAAAACACAAACAAACTAAAAATAAATATAAAAATGTGTAAATACGATACCAGGTAGGTAGGGCGCATCGATAGTAAAATGCAAAAGTAAACCTACATAGCAATTCAAATGCATGCAAACCATTTTAATTTTGCATTTTCCCTACAATAAAATTTTCTGGGAAAAAAGTTTGCTAAATATAGTTTTCAATTTTTTGTATTCGTATAAATAAAACTCAAAATTTTTTTTGTAGTAGGCATAAAATTAACCCCTTCTTACATATGTATATGGAACGTGCAATTATTGCTCAAAGCACAAATACCATCTGTATGCAGACGAACAAAATAAACGCACACAACGCGAGTGGCACATCTGCTGCTGCTATTTCTTTCTAAATGAAAAAAAAAAAAAATTCTTATTGACTCAAAAATAAATAATTTTTCCACACATGCTGCATTTTGCGCAAAATCCATGAATTCCATTTCTGCATTCTATAAAATTTTAATTGTTTCTTTTTTTGCTTTACTCCAACATTTGTACATCATTTCGCACTATAAAATGATAATCACTTGCACTGCCAGCTGGCGTTGTTTGTGCTAAAGTCAAATACACTTATTGACATATTTCATTTTATTTTGAAAAAACATACATTGCCATTCAATTGTTTTATTTCATTTGCAGATGAATCAAGTATTGGACGCCATGTTCGAAAAACGAGTGCAACCAGACGAATACATCATACGCCAGGGTGATGATGGTGATAATTTTTATGTTATTGAGTCGTGAGTATCTCAATTCAATTTCCGTTTATTTTACATAAAGCATTTTTATATGTATTTTTTTTTTTTATGTGTATGCGCATATGTATGTATGTATGTACATATACATACATTAGACTGCATCACCAAAAAAAGTTGCGGTTTTTCCATCGGCATTACAAGATTTATTATATTTTAAGACGTCCACCAAAATATTTCGGAAAAATATTAAGATTTAAGTGAGCTGAACCGATTTGAAAATACCTCCAAAAATGGAGTTTTTTTATGAATAAAAATAGTTTCTGATTTAGACTAATGGGCTCTCAGTAGAAAGGTATTTTCACACTGTTTTTATTTCTGTCCAAAAAAAGTTATTCTTGTTTTTTTTTTTTGTCAAATACCAACACATCTTAATTGAACTTTGAATGATGTGCGTTCATCCTACCTTTCTCTTTCATCCTTTGAATGAGTTTATTAGCAAAGAAATAAAAAGGGTGAGAAAATACCTTGCCACCGACACCTCTTAAGTCTAAATCAGACCAGTTTAGGCTCAGTTATTCAAGTTTTTCTTATACCAATCTTTGAAAAAAGTTAAAAAACAGCATTATAAATCTCATTATTACAATTCCGTTCAAATTTTTTTAAATTTTTTTTTAAATTTTTTTATGCAAATTTTTTAAGCTTAAACCGTTTTATCATTTGAGGGGTTAAAAAAAAAAAAAATCTTTAAGAAACTATTTTTATTCATTAAAAACTCCATTTTTAGAGGTATTTCGGTAAATCGGTCCAGCTCACGTAAATCTTAATATTTTTCCGAAATATTTTGGTGGACGTCTTAAAATATAATTGATTTTATAATTCCAATGGAAAAATAGTAACGATTCTATTTTTGGATGGGGACTGATACAGTCTAATATACATATGCACATGCAAGCAAAAAAAAATCGCCGACACCCCTGAGTTTCAAAACTATTTCGAAAAACATTTCGGGCGGAACCTTGGGTCGCCTTTTTGCATTTTTCGATGACACCTACATGCGACAATAATATACCCCGCCCATTAGCGGTAGCCCGAGGAAGCGTGCAGCCTTGACGGGGTCTGTCCATAGGGACAGGGGCGTTAGAGAGGAGGGCTAGAACGTAGTGATTGAGGTGAATGAATTTTGGAACTAACAAATTTCATTCTCGAGAAAAGAACTTCGATATATCAGATTTAAAGATCTGAGTATATATGCCGAAGAAATTGCCTTGCAAAAATACTTTAGACTAGACTTTTTAGAACTTAAGAAATGGCGTGGTCCAATGTGCATGTATATGTACATTAGGATGGCCCTTAGTTATATGGAGTGTTTGGATTCTCGGTCTCACCCCCTAGAAATGTGTGAATAGCCTAAAGACTTAACTTTACAACGCTTTAGGTCAATCAAAAAAGATTTAGAGGTCTCTCAAAGCGCTCAAAGTTTCCCATGTATTTTATGTGGCGAAAGAACTATTTTACATCGAAATTGTATAGAATCCTTGAAAAGCAATATTTTCCAACCGGCAAACTCTGTTTCTCTTCAGGAGACTTCAAAAAATACTACTCAATTGGTTATTTAAAATTTGTTTAATATTAACGATTTTTTATGGGTGCCCCATTGCAGTTCTTAGGGGTTTGGGGGAACATAAAAAATTGTTAATATAAATAAACTTTTAAATAAACAAATGGTTATTTTTTCTGGAAGTCTCGTGAAGAGAAAAATAGTTTGCCGATTGAAAATTACTGCTTTTCAAGGATTCTAAATAGTTTTTCACCATATAAAATACATGGGAAACTTTGAGCGCTTTGAGCCACCTCTCAATCTTTTTTGATTGCCCTAAAACTTTATATAGGTTAGTGTTTAGGCTATTCACACATTTCTAGGGGATGATACTGAGAATCTGAGCGCTTTTCGAAATAAGGGCCACCCTAATGTATATATGTAGGTATGTATGAATGAAGGTAGAGACAAAGCACAGAGTGCACATTTCCGCAGGTAACGCATTCATTCGTACGTGGTTAGATCAGGAATAAATATTTTTGTTGGAAATTATGAATGGTTTTCTAATTTTATTGATGTTATTTTCGATTTAGCTGCATTTGATGGCTGTTATGGCTCGAAATTGTAAATTGTATTAAATGTGTGTTAAAAAAGCTTTGAATGATAGGAGTATACGTATAACACTAAATTTTGAACTTTTCACAGTTTAGCACACTTATATTTTAAGCAATTTCTGAACTTGATATAAATGTATATTAAAGTTGAAGATTAAGTTGCTCAAGTCTGCACTTGGTCGTTGTATGGGTGCCTAGGCGAAGGGTATTTTTTTATGCAATCTCCTTTCACTGCACGGGACTGCAAGGTTTGTACTTATACTCTCCATAAAGTGGTTCTCTACTATGAGAGGGCTAGGAGAAAATTAAAACCACTGCTGTCTTCTTAAACGCAATGGATCAGCCTCTCTTATTCCCAAATCATGACTTATATATCGCACACCTAGATCTAAATTGTGATCAACTCAAAAAAAAAATAATAAAAATATTTTTTTCTTCTTGATTATATACATTAACTAAAAACTACTGTTACACCCGTTTTTGTATTAATTGCCCTGCATCTGTACGATCCACAAGCAGTTAAATTTCCCTCTATGATTTTTGAGTTAGCTTACTTTAGATCTAGGTGTGCAATATGTACATACTATATCAATGTCTAATATGTATATACAACCATGAAATTTTCGCATATAGGATATCAAGTGGAATTCACAAAGTGTGGTTTTACTAGCTGATTTGGTACACAAGTCTCAAAATTGTATATTTCGATGAATGAGTTATTGAGACAGTGAGAGTAAGTAATCCACTTTTCTTTCCCTCTTCCTCCTGCAGAGAAGAGAAGCTGAAATTTTGAAATGTTATTTTTTTTAATATCTCGACTCCTGCGCCACCTATCGAGTTAATTCGTCATTGCCTTGTCATCGGGTCTGGAGTTTCAAGTCTCTAGGTAAGTGGTCGACGGGCCATAGCTCAGTGAGCGCTCTCTGAGCACATGTGTGTTTCACACGTATACGAAGAGCGGCAGCTGAGCAGTGCATTGAATGTGTTAGTATGCCGACCACTGCTCTAGGTCATCGGAATGTTGGTCAAAAATTGATTGCAAAATTTGACGCAAACAAACAAACTTACATCCTTACAGAGTAAGTTAAATAAAAGCTTTTAAAAAAATACCTGTATTTTTTTGTATTTGAACTATTGCTACCAACTTATATTATGAATTCGCCTTGATGGATACTTTCATCTCCTGACGTTCAGAAATAATATTGACTGATGATTTGCATCAATGCGTTTAAAAAGTGAGCCCGCTTATGGAGCAACCCTTGTGTTCTACATATTGAACTTTGCTATAAAGATAATGTGACATGATACAGTCCAAAGTGGTTAAGCATTTTAAAATTCATAAATCACCAGATAGCATAACCCAATATATATCTATATAGTACATACATATCGTCACCTGAGTGGACCTGAGTCGACCTAATTCGGCAGCCAGTTTGAAAACGCCCTATCTCTGAAAACTTTTCAAGAACGCCCTACTTCAGAATTTGATTGAAAACCAGCTCATCTCGGAATTTGGTTGAAGAAAGCCCTATCTCAGAATTCGGTTCCAAAACGCCCTATCTCAGCTGAATATAAATTGAAAATGTAGAAAAGTTTTCTGAGATAGGGCGTTTTCAAACTGGCTGCCGAAATAGGTCGATCTTCCACTCAGGTATCGATATCTTCTGCTTTGTGTGATGACCAAATTAATTTTTGCCCACAGGAATAAATCAGCCTTAAGCTGTTGTCGTTAGATTTGCTAATTGGACTCGATTTAATTGTGACCCATTTAAGCGTATATAGTTTTCAGCGTTCTATGATCCTAACGTTTTATTTATTTTTGTATTTTTTAGTAAAAAATACTAAGGAAAGTTCTGTTATGTAGATATGTATGTAGCAGGAATTGGCAACGGTTGATCGTCAACTGTTCATACTCATTCAATACCGCTGCTTTGTATGACTGAGCAGCGGCGTTGGCTTAGTAGTATCGATACCTAAACGAAATTAGAGGATGACTGAACACGAGCGCATTGCGTGCTGTCTTGCAAATACAGCCACCACAAGTGAACGATGCTTATAACTGCTCATACTGATATTGACTTCGGCAAATCTGTACTCTGAATGATCGTGCACGAAACCAGCAAACGTGGCAGTTGAACGGCTCCGAAAACATGAGAGTCATCATTTGTTGCAGAAGTCGTTTGACTTGTTGCTGAAAATCATCTGACTTGTTGCTGAAAGCCATTTGACTTGTTGCTGAAAATCATCTGACTTGTTGCTGAAAATCATCTGACTTGTTGCTGAAATGACGACGAATGTGGTAAAGGGTAATTTATCGTCTCGTATGCATGTATGTATGTATTTATAGCGCGTCTACAATTCAGTTGCATTGCTCACTGCTGGCTAGTTGTGAATATGCATACGTACGTAAGTATGTATGTATGTACATATCAATGCTTCATTTCAAACAAGCAAGTGTCTTTGAATGTTTTTGAACTACAGTATCATCACTTCGGCAACACGTCAAACGCGCCTTCAGCAACAAACCAAAGGCGGCGGTTTGACTTCTGCAACAAATCAAGTTAGCTAACTGCGGCATCTTGCCTTCGCCAGTCTTTCACATAAGCTGTCATGCTTTCGGCAACCGTCCAAAGCAGTATCGTGCTTTTGGCAGTCGATCAAATACGGCGGTTGCTGGTTTCGTGCACGATCATTCGGAGTACAGATTTGCCGAAGTCAATATCAGTATGAGCTGTTATAAGCATCGTTCACTTGTGGTGGCTGTATTTGCAAGACAGCACGCTTTGCGGTGGTGTTCGTTCATCCTCCGTTTTTAACGTGAGTAGGCTTAAAGTCACAAAAACAGCACCCTTTGCCAATGTCTGGTATGTAGGTTCCAAATGACGTTGTGGTAATTGCCGGCTATTTAAAATTGTTTACTGAAAGTAATGGTAAAGTGGGACATTTGATTTGTGCTTATGTTTTCGTCTTAAACATTTTGATGGTTACAGTTTAATTCATATATCTATTAATAACTACAGCAGACTACATATTATAGTAAAGTTTCAAATACTTATATCTGCTCTTTTTTTTCTTTTTTCTCTTTACATATCTATTAACAGCGGAGTTTACAAAGTCATTTGTAATGGCGATCATATTTCTACTTATGACAATAGTGGAATATTCGGTGAATTGGCGCTGCTCTACAATGTTCCAAGGTGAGTAAAAGGAAAACAAAAAAGGAAATATTCCTTATTAGCATTAACCCAGACGCTAAGTTACATAAATACACGCACGAAGAAAAAATTAATATAAATTTTTTAACAGAAAATTTATTTTTTAAATTAACTAAAAAGCAGTGCTAAAAAACAAAAATCTCAAAAATCAACACGATTTTTTAGCCGGTTTAAACTTGCACTTCATTAGATTAAAATTGTACGCGCCTGGCAAAAATTCTTAGGTTAATAACCATGAATATACATATCGTCGTTTAAAGTACAAAACCGCGTATCGTGATCCCGCAAAACCGCGTAACTGACATTGGCTGCCAAAAATTGGATTTGCTCTCACACAAGCTCTTGGCTCAATCCTTATCCATTCGTCCTGAAATATACTAGGCAGATATGCGATTGCTTAATAAAAAAAACAAAAAAAAACATTTTGAAATATGAGTGTTTTTACACTCTAGAAAATAATTTCTACAACTTCACATACGCGGTTTTGCACTTTAAACGACGATATGTACATAAGCATAAAACCAATATTAATGATTTTCTCTGGTCGGCAGCAAAAGGATACTCAATAACTTTAATTAAAACGTTTATTTACGATTTTCAAAGCTGAAGAGCTGTGTGCAACAAAAAAAGGCTGTTTAAATATTTAACAAACCATCGTCAAAAGAGGAAATGCACTTCAATACAAACATGCATACATACATACATACGGATCTATTAAATATATTCATTAGCATCATTTTATGGTTTCATTTTTGTGAAAGAGCGGAAAGTTTAATATTAACCTGAAAAAATTGCTATTTTGAGAAAATCATATTTACCTAAAATATTGTATGCCTTTAAGATAACCAGCTCGTCTAAAAGTCTACTTTTTCTAATAAAATATTGAAGATCCCTCATGAATATTTTCTTTACGCAATTTATTTTAAAAGCGACTAGCCGGCGAAGCCTCGCGCTGAATGTATGCATATTTATGTACATTTACATTTTTGGAGAAATAAATCATATGTCATCAAGTACTTCGTTTATTGTATACTTAAAAAATCTCTCCTAAATTCGTTCATTAGCGTGGTCAAAATAGCTCGCCTTTCCTTTATACTATGACGCCTACGCTTATTAGTATTGAATATAATAATTTGCTTGACAAGTGGCAATCCCATTCATATAATTAGACATTAGTGATTTTCTAGAGACCAATTGCTTTCATTTGGCACCTCAGTTTTGGTAATCCAACGAACGGTGCGGATCTTATAGTTTTTTTTTATACAGGTGGCAACCCTATTTAAATTCTAAGTAAAAAAGGTCACTCTCCTATCGTTACAAAGTATATTAGAGAAAATCTCGTCAAAATCCGTTCAGTAGTTTTCGAGATTACCGCGTACAAAGAATCTCGTCTCCTTTATATCGTCGCTCGAATAAAGAAACAGTGTAAATGCCACATACACTATTATTCGATAATTGCACCATTGGATAGACAATCCTTTAATCTATTAGAAAAATCTTTAGTTTTCTTAAATATCTCTTTGGCCCACTAATTTATTCCCGAAAACTGAAATTGTATTCGTATGGTTTGTAATGGTTTATAAAAACTTCCAATTCGTTTTTCTCAAAACTATACTTTTCATGTTACACTATTTCATTATTCCAGCGACGATATGTAATATGTATAGATGATTGTTTTTGATTCCATAATTTAATAAAAAAAAATGCCAGCATTTTTCCTGCATTTTGAATTTCATCATTTAATTTTTACTCCATTTATCCAGAGCCGCATCCATACAAGCTGTAACAGAAGGCCTACTGTGGGCTATGGATCGTCAAACGTTCCGTCGCATTCTATTGAAATCCGCTTTTAAAAAGCGAAAAATGTACGAAACACTTTTGGATAGCGTACCGATGTTGAAAGCGTTGAAGGTGAGTGTGCTCAAAGAGAGTTAATCGTTTAATCTAAAACGGATTTTAAAACGAGTAGTAACTGCTTTCGTCGTTTTCTACATAGAAAACCATGGTAAATTTTCTCTGACAATTTCAATGATTAAGCAAGTTTTTTTTTTTCAAGATAAAAATAATTTCTAATGCTTGATTTCCACTAGGCATTAAATGGCAAAAATGACAAATGACAAAGTCGGGCATTAAAAAAATATCGTGTCATTACATTAAAAAAAATATCATTAAGTTCATTTCCACATGGCATTTTTTAAATGGCATACATTTTTTGTAATTTTAATGCCTAGTGGAAATTCGGCATAAGTCTCTGAACACTTATTCTCTTTTTCGTGCAATAACGTTTACGCATGTGATACAATGAATGAATATATTTAATTAATATACATACTTACACAAATCAAAATATTTAATAAAACATCTGAAATTTCATTTCTTCTAGTCCTATGAGCGCATGAACTTGGCTGATGCCCTAGTTTCCAAACACTTCTCTAACTCTGACAGAATCATCAAACAAGGTGGAGTACTCGACCAAACATTAAAATGAGAAATTAAATTTTTACATATTTATTCCTACGCCAAATATGTAGGTGATGCCGCCGACGGTATGTACTTCATTGAGGATGGTAATGTTGTTGTGAAAATGGATCAGGACGGCAAGGAAATTGAAATCTCCCGACTGGGCAAAGGTCAATATTTTGGAGAGTTGGCTTTGGTTACACACCGACCACGTGCTGCTTCCGTTTATGCCGATGGAGAAGTTAAAGTTGCATGTAAGTTAAAATAAATTTCAAAAGGTTTTGTGGCTACATAAGTACGTATGTACTAATGTACCTCTGAACGAGAATTTAAATTAGTTAATTAATATTTTTTTCATTACCACATCCATAAAAATAGCAGGGAGAAGTATTGAATATGAATGTATTTAAATTTTCAAAGCAATCGGCTGGAAATAACTTACAGTTGTAAACAGTTGAATAAAGATAATTGCAACCGATATATTCTATGAGTCTGTCGCTTCAATTTGCACCTATCATGACAATCAATTATATGAAATAGGAAGCATTCCGGAAAAATAAGGCCACATAAAAATGTATGAGAGTTTCTCACTAAAAATTAAATTATAAATTATAATTATAAGAGCACATTACTTATGTGAAATGTGGTTATCGAAAGCCATTTTTTTTATTTGTATTTAAGGAAAGCTATTTTGGGAACTTGAGTTTTAAAATGAAGAAAATTTTCTTGGATATAGTTGTTCTTCAATATCGAAATTTCATAGAAATATCCAATATCCAAGGAATATTGGCCAGGTAGTAGCAGTGAATCAGCTGACATTTTACAAATATTTTTAATTTTTTCACACAAATTTTAAATTATGCAAATGTATTTTCATGGGAAACCTTCCCGCCAAACAATTTCTGTTGCCGGCAAGGAAACAAATTTATTGCCGGTAATACCGCCATCATATTGATTTCGTATTACCAGTCATTCTAAAACGTCCGCCGAAGGAGTCGTTTTCTTATCGCTTCAGACGTTATTTGGAATAATTTTGTTCTTTTTAATATTTCATTTATTTTTTGTATACAAAATTGGAACATAGAAACGGAACGAATTCCTTATTTCTCTTTGAGGCCTATCCTATTCCTATTTTCAATCCTGTCTTTGGTATAAACTACATAATACTGTTTGGATAATATTGTTGACGCGAAATTGACAAGCATGGGAATTTTTGATAACTTATTTATTCCAAAATTGACATGAACGAACTGATGTTGCCGATTTTTCACCACGGCAATAAATCGATGAATCGCCAACTTGTTGCCATTGACGATTGTTGCCTATTTCTCATGTTTTGCATGGTGGGTTTTTTTCATAAAAAGAAGCAATTAAAAGAACGTTACTGGGCAATTTATTAAGGATTCCGAGCGCTCCACACATTTCGCCAAGCTAGTAATCGTATGAGCTTATCCTCAAAGTTGTTTTTTATGATAACCTATTTTTTTGCCTCGGACCAGGGCTCGAATCTGGGGTCCAATGGAAAGACGTTTACTTTCTGAGGCCATTTTAAATGTTATCTACATTCTTTAGATAGAATCAGAGTCAAATTCTTAGAACAATAAATCTAGAAAACCGATATTTTTTCCTTTATATCAGATCATCATCATGATTGATAGAATCGGTATTTATGGACATTACGTCACTAAAGTGTCAATTTCAATGGGTGGATGGTTCCATTATATTTCATGCGAGAATAAGCCGTGTACTGTTTTTTTCGTTTTAATTAGAGCTAACCTTAACTCACTCCCTATTTATCCAGCCCGTCACAGTCGTATACCTTCGTATATACATAAGATGGGTCTGTCAGCAGATCCCTAGTGGCAGCTTTATTGTGAGGATGATCAGATCAGCTTTACACATTTTACATTTAAATTTTTTTACTCTCACTTTTCGCACTGAAAATCATAATTAACTACCGATTGTAAGTTAACCCTTCACTGGGATAACGGCACTTGCTTACACAAACGGGAATGCGTTTCAATTTAGCCGGAGTTAACCTCTTAAAGTCTATTTTTTCTTTTACTTACTATAAAAAGTATTGCGTCTTCAGGTTAAGAAGTCGTCATTAGGGGCCATTTTCACCATCTTTGGTTAGCACTAATCCCCAGTCAAACATCGTTACCGACGTTACCAATACAATATTATATGCATGGAGTCAGTAGCGTCGGCAACGATGTTTAACTGGGTATAAGTGTTAACCAGATATGGTGAAAACGGCCCTAAGGGACAGAAGTTCTTGCAAAGTACCTCGCTCCGCTAAACCCGAAAACTAAACTAAGTAACTAACCAATTAGCTAATTCCCAAGTTGAGAGTATTGCCTGAGCCTTCTTACAATTTTCGAATTGGATCGCGCCCATTACGAGAATGAGCACTTTTTTGTACTAGTTAAAGGAAATTATGCTGGCCGTGGATCTCGAACCCATGACCTCACGGGTAGGCGGACTCGCAATATGTACCGCCATCTGTGAGGGTACAGACTAACGTTGCCGTCTGCCCATTATATAAGTTGTTCACAGCTGTAAGCGCTTTAAAATACTTGTTAAGTAGTAAAAAAAAGTTTAATGCAAAACCTCTATTTTTCGATGGGTGTGGTATTTTAGAAAAATATTACTAATTCTTTCATAAACACAGCCCATTTCTTTTGTATTCTATTGACTTTACGTAGTTTCTGCTCCGTTTTTTTTACCATTTTAAACATGTAATAATTTTCGCTCCGTTTATTTTTTTCTTTCTTAATTTTTTCATTTTATTTATTTTTTCCAATAATATTTTAATTTTAATTATTTTATTACACTATTTATGTTATTTTCATTCAATAATAATTTGCTCGTAAAAATTATAAACCCGCTTAAACTTTTTTGTATGGAATTACTTTTCTAATTTTTTTGTATGCTTCCTATTATACTTGTTTTTTGCATTTATTCGTCTGTTTATGTCCTATACATACATATATATAATTTTATGTATCTATTAATTTTTATTTCACCTACATATGTATGTATTTATGTATGTTTATGCATAATGTGTGTGAAAGTAGTCTTAGATACCGACTGTTTTAAGCGTTTATTTGGTAAATGTACCAATTTGTTAGAGAGTGGAATCAGTGGTTATCGCTATTTGGATGATGATTTGCGTATTTACTATGATAATTTAAAAATGTTGCAGGACATTAAATTGTAGTTATGAATTTTGTTAAGTCTGTGTGTGTATGCTAAAAGTTGATTTTTAATTTTTTCGGGACCAAAGGAAACATTTTTCTCAAAGAGCTGCGCTGCTTACACACATACATATGTGGAAAGTAGCCGTGTGACGTACCTCTCTTTGAATTTGCTATTTTAAACCATTACATAATTATTAGAAGAAAAATTACTAAAAATTACAAATATGTTTATAAACATAGTCCTTAATATACATAAATATATATGACACAACCCACATTTCAAGCAATAATTTTTTACTCATATCCTCATGGTCCAGAAAGGGTTAAATTGTGGTTTCTCTTATTACATATTTCCGTATATACTAACATTTTAATTTAAAAATTGCTTATAAATTTCATTTAATTTTTAATCAATGCTTAACATTTACAATCAATCAATCATTTATTCAATCAATCTGCGATAACTGTTAACAAACGATCATATCAATTTATAAAGATTTGGACAACAGTGCCTTTGAGCGAATTCTTGGCTTTCTTACGGATATACTGAAGCGCAATGCCGAAATCTATGAAGAACAATTATCTAATCTGGCACGCGAAAATACATTCGTTTGAATTTTTAAATTGAAAATTTTCCCATTACATACATATGTATTAATATGATTTATTGTTTTTCTCATTGTTGATTTGTTGACCAGAGTTTTAGTGATATGTTTACGATTGCTGCGTTTTGACTCTTTAAAAAAGCAAGCATTGCTAAAACGGTGTCGAAATCAATGGTTATTTGAATGTATTTACAAACTTTTAATAAATAAATAAATAATTAAAAGTATTTTTTTAGACATTATTAAGTCTTCGTCGCTAAAATTTATGTCATTTAATGTCCAGACATATAACAAGGTTTTGCGAGATGCCATTTGATTTTCCTCAATTTGTGCAGAGTAGTATGAAGAAATTTTAAACTTAAAACGGAATAAATTGGCTTATGCCGGATTTCCACTGGGCATTAAATGTCGAAAATTTTCGACGACAAGGTGGGCATTAAAAAATACTTGTGCCGTTGCATTAGTAAAAAAGTAGTTAAGTTCGTTTCCAACGATATATAAGTATTTAAAATGCCATTTCAGTGCCTAGTAGAAATTCGGTATTCAAAATTTTAATAGAAAGAATTGCCTGAACATTCATCAAGTTTTAATTTATGGAAATTCGGTATAAAAAGAGAGCGAATGCTTCAAAGCGATTCAATTGCTGGGTTTAGTTTTCAAAAATTGTAAGAAACGACAATTGGAACTGCTATTTTAAATTTGACAAAATTAACTTTCTGAATCTAAATTCAAAAAGTAGATTTATTTGAGGTTGAGAAGAAAAATTCAGAGCCACGACTTCAAAATCTTATTTTTGCAGTGCTGAATAATTTTAATTGCACATATTACAGTTACAAAGTATCTTAATTGCAAGTTCTCCGAAAAGAGAAACGATAATTCCAAATATCCGCATTACAATCACAGAAGTAGCAAAAAAAAAAAATATCTAAAATATCCGTAGTTTTATTTCACTTAATATACCCGTATACTTATGCAGTGGCGGAAATGTAAATAGGGTCCCGACATTTTGGCTATTTTTCTTACTTTTATTTAGTGTTTATTATTTTTTTTTTTTGTTTTGAAGTAAAGCTCGTTATCTAACAAAAACCATGTAAGTCCGAATTTCAAACTTTGTACAAAAATTAGGAAATTCAACAAAGTTTCATCAAAAATAAAACTTTTGCACTAGGGTTTTAGAACAGATTTTGTTTTGCAGTTTTATAGCCGTCCGAAAAAAAAATTTCAAATATCAGCGGCACTTTTTAGTAATTTCAAACTTATACTTTACCATACCGCAATTTTTTCTAAAAACGCTTAATTTCTAATATTTGACTTATATGGCTTTTGTTAAAAATAAATAAAAACAGGTAGAAGGAAAATAACCAAAACGAGTTAAAATGTTGTTTCCCTATTTATTTTGCTGCCACTATAGCTAAATAATATTTTCTACGTAGTTAAATAATTATATTAACATAAGTATAACAGATATACTAATTTAGCACACTGGTTCGTTTTTATATATTATCCAAAATATATTTAGGTCCATAGTATGTAAGTCATTCCCTAGGTTTAGGTATCCCCACCTGTCACAGTGCTCGTTCATCAACATCATCATCATCGAATTGGAGCAAAAATCAGTCAAGAAAAACTTTTCATCGGTAAGACGCCAAGTAATGAAAATTAAAAAAAAAAAAAATCTAATTTTTCTCGGCGCATGTTCACTTAAAATTAATTGCGGTCTAAGGATTACACGCAGCACACCAACACTTCAAATCCTGTTGATTAATTATAACTACAATTACTATGAAGCTCTTAAAATAGCTGAATATTATCTAGTAGTTATTGACACAATATCGACACTGGATAGAAGACACAAAGAGCGTTACAACTAGAGCGTGTTGGCTCCACATTTCACACACACCGCAGCCACACCTCGCCATTTTTACAGTGGCGAGTTAATTCATATTCAAAAATAAATTGTATAAATATTTAACAAAGCGAAAATTTACTAATAAATGTGAGCTAAGTAGTTACATTGTGAAAATGGCATTTAATCATAAAACGTTTATCACACATACATAGATACATTCTTATTTTTAGGCTACATAGAATATTGCTTGCCAATACTGTTATTAAAAATATTGTAATTGCATTCAAATGAAAACTGGTGATGGGTTATTCTGTGCTTGGAAAGAGCGATTTGCTGAGAATACACCGCATGAATATACTCACGACTGCTCTCTCCTTAGGCCTTAAAACCATTTTGGTGAAATTTAGTTTTCCAAAAAAAAACATTGTATTTTCAACAAAAAACTGTAACTTCCAAAAACAAAGTGATTTTTGAAGAGTCAAGGTTTTTAATTATATAAAACATAAATGACAAAAAAAAAAAAAAAAACAGTTCAAGGTCATTCCATGTAAAAGAGTAAATAGACGTAAATTTTAAAATTCCACTAATTATTCCTATTTCAGTGGTAACCTATACATCATATATTGTTACTTTTTACACCAATTACAAAGACCTGTTCCACTAGTCACAATATTAAATATTTTTTAATATATCTATGAAGGTTATATCAGATTAATTTTTTATGAAAAGGAAAGCGTATCGTATGTACATATACATTTTACAACACATAAAAATCTCGCTTGAAAACAAACTGTTTTGACTGAAATTCGTCTTTAATAAGTGCACAAAGGTAAAAATAAAGACATTTTCAGTGTTCCACCAGTCACATTCGCTCAAATAATATGGTGTTACAAGGAACTTAAAAATTTTTTCGTATTTTTTTTAAAAGTGTTTTATAGCAAAACGTTCACATTTTTTTTACTATATATTCCCACTTCTCTTGATGTCTTCATCACTGTCTCTGGCTTTTCGAAGACAGTGGGCCTCATGCATAAAAAGTGAGCTTAAGCTCCGACTCGATTTTCAGTACAAATTGTTGAGCTTGAGCTCACCCCTTCAGTGCAAAAATTGAGTCTGAGCTTAAGCTCACTTTTTATGCATAAGGCCCAGTTTATTGCCTGGATGCCTACTTTACTCAAAGAATGTGTAATGAGCATATTCTCATTGGTCTTGTCTTGTGTAAACGCGGGGTCGTACAACTGTCAGCAGTGATGGACTTGTGTGCGTCAAAAGTTGAGTATTGGCCAACGTTCGTTGGGTCCGTCGACGCAAGGGGTGCCAATTTGACGCTCTCTATGCAAACACAACTGTCAGTTTCATCCTTGAGAGGAACGTACGCGAAGTACCCATTCTGACGGGGCCATAAGTTGATTATGTACAATCATATTATGTTCAAACAAAAAATTCGGTATTGCTTGAGTTCCGACGATCCAGTTAATTCTGATTTTAAATGTCCTACGAGTCATAATGGAAACGCCCATTTTTAAGTAGGAGATGTGAGCCAGTAACAGCTAGTATCCTCACTACGGAGAGATTAATTTGGGCTATAGAGTCCTTTAACCCGTGGTCCGGACGGAGTTTACCGGTACAGCTACAGCAATCGTTGGAGATAGCTTTCATATGGTTTTATGCATCTTTAGGTACATTGAGAAAGCCTTACTACTAAATGAATATAGACCGATAGCATTCCTGAATATCGAGGGTGCCTTCAATAATATTACACCCGTGTCAATCACGGGGACTCTAACGGATCTAGGCATTGATCTACTACAGCTAGTTGGCAGAGTTATCCGAACGAAACTGGCGAGAGCAACGCTGGGCAGATACGTTAGTAGGCGTTCGCCAAGCACCTAGGCGGGGTACTGCACAAAAAGCTAGTCTGGGCACAAAATAGCAAGGAGCGTGTTAGGAAGCTGTCTGCAGTTGCAAAGGAGCAATTGGAAAGAGCTGGAGCTTGTTCCCGAAGATTATGAACTGTCTATGCGCCACGGTGGTTAGGCCAATTCAGTTAAACGGGGTGGTGGCCTAGTGGATAAGAAAGTGCACTCTGTATATTATGGGTAAACAATACGCGGCGCGTGGCGTTTTACAACTACCTGAGTTGGCCCTTTGGTAGGTGAATATTGAAGGCCACACAACAATTTTAAATAAAGTCAGCACCCATGACAAAGATTACTGCCTAACTAAGTTAAATTTTACTAAGGGATTCAAGGTTATAATTTCATAGAGAGTATCTGAGAGTCACTTCTACACCGACAGCTCGAAGCTGGATGGTAGAATTGGAGGTGGAATTTTCTCAGCTCTCAGAGTTAAAAAAAATATTTTCGCCTACCATTTCATTGTAACATCTTCAGGCTGAAGAGGCTGTTGAGTACTTACGTACAAAAGAAGTCACAAATAGTAGAGGGGTGAAGCTGCACTCAAATTACTCGATTCGTCACTTGTAATTCAAAAACTGTTGCAGGCTGCCGCAAATCTCTAAACGAGATGGCTGAGCAGCTAGCTTTTCACTTAGTGTGGGTGCCAGTGCACTGAGATGGTGGACGAACTTGAAAAGGGCACATCCGTACCCGTGAAAGGTTCACAATGTCTCCCGATGCTCAGCAGAGGTGACCTGTATACAGCTGTAGGCCTGTTAACGGGACACAATAGCCGGATAGGCTGGATGTTCCTTACAACGACTTCTGCAGGAGCTGCTGAGATGAAAAAGAGCCTGAAACCTTAAGGCACCTATTACGCGAATATCCAGCACTCTGGAAGGGAAGTTGGAATTTCGTGGGTTCTGAATTTTTCGAGAAACTAGGCGACTTATTCAAATTAGATATACGTCAATTGCTATGGTTTATAGAATCCACACCATGGATCATACGGACGTAAAGGGTCCAAGCGTACTAGTGTGATCATCAAACAGCACCCTGCAGGAAACGGGACTAGTTTATAGCTAAATCGCCCAAAAAAGATAACTATAAATTGGTTATTTTTTATCAGTTGATAACTTTTTGCTGCAGAGCCAGTTCAACCTAACCTAACCTATATATGTATGCATAAAGGTGGTCCTTAAAAAATCAAATGAACAATTTTTTTTAGTCTCGCCCTCGCAATCGATAATACCACGGTCTCAGGTATCACATATACATACATTTTGGTCCCGATTGTTAAGGCGTGTCGCACAGGATCCAATGATCGGATTCCTCTATAGAGACTGAAAAATTTTAAATAATTTTTTTTTTTCATCTAATACCCAAAATCGGTACCAGCATAGTCCAAGTATCACATATAAGTTTTGATCCCGATTGGAGTCGGCTAAGGCGTGTGGACAAAGGGGTCAAAGACCAGATGCCTCTATTGAGACTCAAAAAATTAAACATATTTTTTTTTATAATACCCGAAATCGCTACTACTAAAGTAAAGATATCACATATAAATTATTATACCCTATGCGCCACGCCTTAACTGACTCTAATCGGGCAAAAATTTATATGTGATATCTTGGACAATATGTAGGAGCATCGACCTAGGGGATGAGGCTTGGGAAATCTGATGTAAAAATTTGCTTCCTACATTTAAGGACCACCCTACAATACATTTATGTGTACAAATGTACGTGTGAATGCAAACGCATGTATTGCTCCATATATTCGGATTTACTAACTATTTGCTTATTTAATTGTTTAATTTCTTATTTTATGTTTTTCTCTCAAAATACTACATACATACATAAATATCGACTTTTTAGTGAGGCATGAAAATTTAACTTTAAGAACTGTTTCTAATTTTGCATGCGGGCGATAAGAGCATATATGTATATAAATTTGGGCTAAAATTTACATGGATATATACTAATAATTGTTTTCCTCTTTTTCCTTTATTCTCCTCTCGCACGCTAGTTTTGGAGGTGCGAGCATTCGAACGTTTGCTGGGTCCTTGCATGGAGATCATGAAGCGTAATATTGACGACTACGAGACGCAGCTGATTAAAATCTTTGGCACTAAAAACAACATTAGCGATACACGATAAAAAGTCTGAGTTTAAAAATGAACATACATACATACATGCAAAGAAAATCACACACACACACACACGTTTGCACAAAAGGAAAAACACGTATACTACATACATAAATGTTTAAAACAAAGCAAGAAAGTGAAAAACAAAATTATATAATTTCATGAAAATTCAACTAAAA